GGCAGGAGCTGTCCCCTGGGCCTTACCTTCCGCTCTCCAGCGGGCCTTGGAGACCTGGGTTCGGGCCTGGGGACAGGCCCTGGTCCCTCCCTGTGTCCCGGGGCTTTCCTGGGGACAGACCCCGGTCCCTACCATGCCCAGGTGCTCGAGTGAGGATGGAGTCTTACACCTCGCCTGCCCTGGAGCTGTGGACCCCCGTGCTGCGCTCTGGGGTCTCTTTCTCCGTTTGCTGTTGCTGGGGCCTTTGGCAGCAAAGCTTCATGGCTCTGATCCTGCCCTGGGGATGACTGGCTGCTCCTCGGAGGCACTGCTAAATGGGGAGGGGAGCAGGCTTCTCAGTCCACATCAACAGTCACGTTAAGATGTTTATCCTAAACCTGCCTGTAGCGATCCTCCTTCCTGCTGGTGCCCACCCATTTGGCTGCTCTGACTCTTTAAAGGATCATCTGCTTAAACCTGGTGTGTCGATAGCCTTTGATATAATGAGCATTATGGTCTTGTATTGTTAGAAAATGCTGGCACTGTTTCAACAAGTTCTTCCTCTTCCTTCAGAGCAAGTATTGCTGCCTGCCAGGCTCTTGCTCATCCTTGTTCTAGAGCTTGTATAATGTTTTCCAAAGATGGCACCAGATATTTGGGCAGTTTCCAATCCAAATGCCAAAAAGCACTAACCTCGTAACGGTAGGCAGGAAGGTGAGGCTCTTCTGTTGCTCTCGCACTTGTTCTCACCTTGAAACGTCTCTGAGCTCTGGTTGCTTCCCAAATGAGAAGGTCGAGTGGGAGCCTGTCCTGGAGCTCAGTGCAGCTCTGATTATGGGAGACAGGGGTTTTGGGTGATGAACAGTAATGGGTGCCATTCGGTTTATCTGTAAACTGCATAGACTTGTAGGTGATTTGCTGTTTTTCGGTTCATTTGGTCAGAGTTCCTAGAGAAACAAGGCCATTGTGATCAAGTGGTGTGTGTATGTGCATCTTAACTACTCTGGAACCTGCTGTCTGATTAAATCCAAATTTGTCAGAGCAGTAATGTACTCAACGGCAGTTGAGTCACAGAATGTTTGGGGGAAACAAATGACTGGGTATACGAAAGGGATCCTGTAAATAGTCTGAGTGTGAAGAAGGAAAACAGAGAGAGAGAAAGTTATCTTCTAAGTAATAAACTTCACCTAAGAGAACTTTCAAATGACTACCTTAGGGGAAGTTTATGGTTGAATTTTTACATGCTGGAGCTGATCTACAGTAAAATACGAGGCGGCAGTTAGTCAAGGTGTGCTTGGTCTGATGCCTCATGTATTGTTTCACTGAATGCTGCTTGTGCTCTTGAAATGCCCTAACTATTTTTGGGGATAAGTTGAAAGAGCTCGTCCAGAAGACAGTCAGAGGCAAAAGAAAAATGTCTATCTCTTTACAAGTTGCAAGTTTCCATCTTAAAAGTCCGTCCCTTTGCATCTGTGCACAGATTTGTCATCTAGAACGCTCAGTGCCTCGAGGGCTGATGAACGCCAAGGGAGATCTTGACTAATTCCTGTTTCCTTTGTTCAGGGATATCATGTCCATTTACAAGGAACCGCCCCCGGGAATGTTTGTTGTGCCTGATCCCCACGACATGACCAAGGTAAGAGAAGATTTGGAGCTGGTTCAGCTTTTTGCTTCTCTGTATGTTGCTGTTGATGACTGCTTTAAGGGTTTGCCCAAATGGAGTATTCCCTTAATGTTTTGAAAGAAGTCAGGATGAGTCTTGCAAGAGCGTAATGAGGCTCCAGTTTTCTTGGTGACATTGAGATGGGCTGCATTTAAAATGGGAGGAGGCTCTCAAGGAAACTGGCTCTGTGGAGAGATACCGTCACAGGGACCTGAGGAGCTTCCGCAGGTAAAGCCAGCCCTGCTTTAGTAGCCCTGTGAACCAGTGGGGTGCTGATCCAGCTCATTTCATCCTACTGATGCTTGAAAACAATCAATAGAGCAGCTCAAAGAAGGGAGCGCTCCGTGGAAAGCTGTTGGCCATGGAGACATGTTGGCCATGTTCTTGGAGAGGCTGGGAACGAGAAACACCCATTAGCCACAAGCAGTGCTGGAGTATCCGTAATCCACCTGAGGAACTTGGAAATGTTTAATTGTTGTGAGCTGGTAGAGAGATGTGTCCTTGCACCCGGGCCGTGTCCTGCTGTGGAGCTGCCTGCCGGGTTCTCGCAGGTACCAAGGTTGTGCGCAGGTCTGACCCACACAGCCGCTCCCACCACATCATCTCCAACCCACCTACTCTCTGGGGACACAGGCATGGCTATGGCCTCTCCTGCCCCGGTTCTTCCCCTCCTGGTTCTTGGGGTTTTCCAGGACTGGGAATTTCCGATTATGTCAGAGAGAATGCAGTGAGCTGGGAGGCAGAGGTTGCACACATGGTGTTCTTGATCCAGTGTGTTTCTCTGCTGGTGCTGCCCTTTCTCCAGCCTGTGTCACCTGGTCTGGCCGTGCTGGTTCCCGAGAGTTGCGTGTGTGTGTGGGGGGGTTGCTTTGGTTTTTCCTCTGCTGCACACTTCTCCCACCCCCCTGACAAATGTGGCATCCTCCACATTCCCTCACATTCGCCCCATGGAAGCGCCTGTCTGGCTTAGGACCCCTGGGTTTTTGGAGGTGGCACAAAGGGAGTGTCTGTGCAGCCAACTCCCACCTGGGGCACTTCGCTGCAGCTCTGGCTTCCCTCCGCGGTGGTAGCTGAAAGTGCCAAAATGCCCTTCAACGGAAATGCGGGTTTGTAGAACACCAGCCTTGGGGCTTTTAACTGAAATCCTGGGGAGGTAAGAGGATCATTAAAGGAGACTGCTTGGATCACTTGGGGAGTAAGCTTCCTTAATAGCCCAAAGGGAGTAGATTTCCTGGTATACAATTGAGATCTTTGAGGGTAATTAGCATGGAGAGAATAGGGTCTTAATTTCAGATCCTGGCAGAGGAAATTGAGTGATTGGTTTTAATAAGACCAAATCAGCACAAGACCGTAAAATTGAGGAATGCTCTAGTTTTGGCAGAAATTCTGAATTTTTTTCTTTCTAAAATTAGATTTTTTTTTTCATATTTGATTTTTTTTTTTTTTTTAAGCAGAGCTTACCAGCTCAACTGTGATTCAGTCTGGTTTGGACTATATAGAGATGTATGGGAGGCAGCTGTTGTGGACTCTGGCCAAACCTTGTGTTGGAAACCGGCTTTGCACATTGAGTGTGGCAGAGGGGAAAGAAGTGTGCAGCAGCGGCTCTGGCTAAAGAGGGAAGGAGGGAGGGTTAAGTATGGCCTGCACATGGCGTGTGCTTGTGGAAGATGCTGCGTTCGTACTGCTGCCTGGGTGGAGATTTCTTGCCTTTGGTTGGCTTTGTTGAGGATTTGATGGTGCTGCACAATTTTGAAGTGGTGCGCAAGACGGGCTTTTGTTTTCCAGATTCATGCATTGATCACAGGCCCATTTGACACGCCTTATGAAGGGGGTTTCTTCTTGTTCCTGTTTCGCTGTCCTCCAGATTATCCCATCCACCCACCAAGGGTCAAACTGATGACAACGGGAAATAACACAGTGAGGTTTAACCCCAACTTCTACCGCAATGGGAAAGTCTGCCTGAGTATTCTAGGGTAAGAGGAGACTTTGGCTGTTTTGATGGGAAATCAGGACGTGGCTGCAAGGCTGTATTCTGCCTCACGCATCCTTCTCGGCGCGTTGTGCCCTGATCTTGCCCCAGACACGTGCTTGGATGCACCTTTATGCTTCTGTGAAGTCAAGTGCAGAATCAGAGTCGTAAAGCAGGACAAATTCCTCTACTGGAGTAAGACTCTAACTTGTCTTTAAAAGCACCTGAGAACGGAGCAAGGGAAACATGAAGTTCAGGGGACATTGCCGCTTTTCTCCCGGTTCCCCTTTGCAAAGCCTCGGCCTGAGCACTGCGTTTCTTCCGCTTTTGCGCTTTACAGCCTGATCCTTAATGTTGTTTGAATGTAGGTTTTTGTGGTTTTAATTTCCTCTCTCCGTGTGGGTTTAAAAATAAATAAATAAAATTAAAAGCCGCTAAGAACTTCCTTGAGAGCCATTTGACTGCTCTGGGCTTCCACCTACACATAGTATGTGGGGCTGAGCGGTGGGTGTAATGATTTACAAGCTCTGCTCCCATGCTGCCTGTTCAAACAGGCTCCACTGCTGCAGATGCTTGTTATTCACCTGCTTGATTTTTAAACATGTGAAAGTCCTGGTTGATTGAATGGCTCTTATGAATGAAGGAACCCTGGCCGTGGTGTGGTATTCCCAACCCCAGCTGTGACGGTTTCAGTTGCCTGTAAAGAAGGGCTTTGGCTGAGGCTCTGGACTGGTGCAGCTGGGGTCTTAGAACCTGGTTCCTTGTGCTGCAGGGAGGTAGCGGCAGCAGCCAGGAGAGGAGGGGGCAGTGACAGCTTGAATTGCTGTAGGGATTTGGTCAACCAGCAAGAGTCTGAGCACTGATGTGGGTATAGGGCTGCCTTTACTGGCATGGTTTCAGCAGTGCTGTGCATGTGCCACTTAGACCAAGGTTGATCCGAGTAGCTGATACTCGTCAGCTGATAGATACTGGCCCAGGGCTAGGTGAGAGATGTGTTGTGCTGGGAAACACCTTCCTCGGTGTAGGAGTCTTCCTGATCCAGTGAGCTGGATGCCAACACCTGCAAAGTGCTGAGATGTGTAGGGCATGTCCTTATCTCAGGGCTCTGAATGCCCAGCAGCTCCCACGCCAGCTGCCTTGTTGCTCTTGCAATTTTAGCTCTGGCATGGAAGCTAAATTATTGAAGAGTGAACAAAGAGCCTCGGCCTTAGCAGAAACGGGAAGCGCAGAGGGAGCTGCGAATGAAGGGATTTAAGAAGAGCATATTTGGGTCAGCACATCCTTGTTCAGCTCACAGGGAGACAGGTCTGTATCTGGAACTAGGATATTAAGGGCAAGCAGCAGAACAGCTTTTTCTGCTTATGCTGTTCTGTGCAAAGGTTTTTGCAGACCTGTTGTATGAAACGGGCACCTTATTCCTACAGCAGAGCATCCATTAGTGCTTTTGATGGCAGTTCTTGTGCCAAGTGTCTGCATTACAGACTGCACAAGTGATGGTCTTGTTTGAGTCTTGAAAATCAGATTTCAGTTCTTTAGAGTTGGTGTTTTTGACTTACGGTAATGCTGGTAGTTTGTATTGCTCCAGGGTGCTGTGTGCAATGAGAGCTTTAAAGTGCCCTGTAAGATGCTTGGAAATGTTACTTTTCCTCAGCTCATTTGTGATGTCCTGTGTGTGTTAGCAGTGGAGTGAAGCTTATCAACCTCTGGCCTTGGTAAAGCTAAAATATTAATTTGGTTGAGATAATAAACTCCCTTCACTTTCTCAGGGTCCATTGCTTTCTGTATCTGTAGCAGCTGTTTCTTTTCCTGTCGCATTTCTGTAAGGTTTCCCAGGCTTTCTGCTCTTTGGTAGTTGGAGGGATGGTGCTCACTGGGCCATTCCTGCGTTGTTAATTGATGCTTTTCTGTTTTAATGCCTCAGCACTTGGACCGGGCCTGCATGGAGCCCAGCACAGAGTATTTCTTCAGTCCTCATCTCCATCCAGTCTCTGATGACTGAGAACCCCTATCACAATGAACCAGGCTTTGAGCAGGTGAGAGTTTGGGGTGGATCACCTCTGATTCTGCAGCTATTTGTCTCTTCCGTCCACACCTTGCTCCTGGTGGCAAATCCCATTCTGCAAATGGGGACAAAAGTAGGTTATGTCGCTTGGCTCTTTTCCAGCTTGCTCTGCCTCTAGTCAGAGCTTGAGGGGGAGTTGCAAGCCAGCTCTGAACTGGAGGTTGCTTAGCTCACGTATGTGTAAGGTAACAGAAGAACAAGAGGCATTTGAGAAGTTGCTGGGGAGATGGGATGGCTCTTCATTTCTCTGCAACGTGACTCCTGAAATGGCTTCCTTGGGACATATTGTCACGCAGGAACAAAGCTGCTCAGGTTTTCGTGGTCTCCAGCATCCTGGAGAGAGGCAGGTTTCTGTGCTAACTTTATCAGTTGACCTGCCTCCACAGCATTGTGAGTCCAAGGCTCTGGAGACATGTAAAATCTTGCCAGCTTTTCATTTGCAGTATAAATTAGCTCGGTGTACACAGAACAGAAAAAAGCTGTAGCGGGTTTGTGCACCAGTGAAATTCATCGGGCCCAGGAGGGAGAGACAAAGAGCCATTCCCGTAGCGTGGACTCACTGGCCCAAATTCTGTTTCCAGGAGAGGCACCCTGGGGACAGCAAGAACTATAACGAGTGCATTCGGCATGAGACCATTCGGGTAGCAGTGTGTGACATGCTGGAAGGAAAGTGTCCCTGTCCTGAGCCATTAAGGTAGGCAAAGAAAGAAAGTGGGTGTGGGGAGGCAGAATAAACTTCTCGGGCTGCCCTTCCTGAAATCCTGATAGTTGCTCCAGGGAAGAGCAAGTCTTTAACTCTCCCTGGTCCAGCAAAGAGTCATTTTGTTTCCCCTGGAGTGGTTGGCTGCATGTGTATGGTGCCCAGGAGCTGTGCATTGACAAAGGCTGTGTTAATGAACACAATGGCTGCATCCTCTGACTTGTATTTGAGTATAAATGTGCCTTGTCTTACAGGGAGAAAAAAAAAAATCTCAGAGGGAGGGGAGCACAGCTGTTGTCGAAACACACAGAATCTCTTCAGCTGCAGTGATGTTGCAGTTCGTTTTGCTCTGTGTCCTGCCTCGCTGTACCCTGTTAGTTGTCTGGGACGCTCTGTATGGGTGTCCATGCTGACTACATGAACTGGAGTTCAGTGGGATGGGGTGACCCTGACTGATGTGATCGTTGTAACACTGTCATTTTGTGTTGACTGTTTGATCTCTCATTGCGTTCAGGGGTGTAATGGAGAAATCCTTCATGGAATACTACGACTTCTATGAAGGGGTGTGTAAAGAGAGACTTTATCTCCAAGGACAGACGATGCAGGTGGGTCCAGACAATTTTCTTGTTGACAACACACTGCCTTAGATAAGAGTGCGTGGTTAGTGACAAACAACAATGTGCAGCACCTAGAGGTACATGGCTGGATCTGGATCTTTTCTGTGCAATGTATATTCCGACTTTGAATCAACCATGAAACTGAGACGTTCCTGTGGATAAGACATTATGTCCCCCAAGTTCAGAGTATGCACATGGTGTTTTCAAGGCTGTTAGACTTCTCAGAGTGCTGGAACTGAGCCATTTTCCAGGGAAGCAGGTACTTTTTTCAGCATTGGAACTGGAACAGTTTGCTTTCATGTGGATTTGGTGTTAAGCAGGAAGGGCACATGCAGGTTATCCAATGCTGGTGGCAACTGAACTCCATTGCAGTGTTTTCCTGTTGGGTCACTGGTCGAGTTTCTCTTTTTCTGAGGTTCCTTTGCTCATACAGCACATAGGAGCTTTTCTCTGACACTTCTAGTTCTGTCAGATGAGTTTGAAAGTGGCTGACTAAGTCAGAAGTTACTGGGGGAGGAAGGGGTGGAGGAACAGTGACAATACGGCAGACGCATCTAGACAGGTTGAATACGGGAGCTTGTTTCTGCAGACTTTAAAGAATAGATTGCCAGTCTATTTGCATATGAACAGATGTGTCTTCCTCCCTCATCAGCCACCTCTTGTCTGACTCATTGAGAAATTCCACGGCTAAGAAAAGATGGAGGTGGTTGATTTAATGATCTTGTGTCTCTGAGCCCGTTTTTTCCTGTCAGTGCTGTCACTGGCCGTGTAATTCATAAACTGAAAGCACTTCCAAAGCAGGAGAATTTGATGTTTAGAGCAAGAAATTCCCATAAGGAGGGTGTGTGCCTGACTTAGAGCTGCGGAGAGTACTGAACTGAAGGCTGTGTAGTGAAGTTTGGTGACTAATATTAGAGGATTGTCAGGTGTGGCCCACTCTTGTTTCTTCTTCAAGGAGCCAGGGCTTAGTTGCTTTCTCCAGGGCTTATGAAGATCACTGTGTTCTGCTCAGTTCTTGGAGGTAGTGACTGCTGTGGTCTGTTTTCTGTTCTCTTCTGAATAGTAGTGCAGCAAGCATGAACACAACGTGCTGGAGAGATGGCATTGTTGTCTTCACTACCCTGTATTCAAAATGAAGTCACTCCAGGCTCAGTATCAGTTGAGTGCTTGCCAGATGTGCTGTCTCGTTAACTCTGGGGCCACATTTTGGCTTGTACCAAAGATTTCCATCAGATGGGACAGCGTAAACACCACCACCACCTTATACAGCCCTGGCAATGTATCTTTGACCTGGGATGGGGATAAAGGCAGCAAATGTTAAATAATCTGCAAGGACTTTCTGCCTCTGACTTGGCTACATCTCAGCTGGGGACCTTGATTTAAAATGAGAATAGTGATGCTTCGTTTGGAAAAGGTCTGTAGCACTAATATAAAGTGTGGTCAAGGCTTTGGCCTCTGGATTTTAGAGACTTTCATTTTTAATGTTTTCGCTGCCTCTCTGGAGTGGTCCTGAGACCAAATCTTTGAAATCATTTCAAAGCTCCCTCACAGCTGCTAGTAGAAATCCAACCCATGTCTGCTTGGCCTTTCATCTGTTTTTGAAGTTTGCTTGGGTTTGTCAGGTTCCCCAAAAGGGACTCTGAACAGAAATTATCTTCAGTCTTCAACCTCTGCCATGACAGTGGAAAGTTTAGGGGCCTCTCCATCATAAGATGGGATTTAGCCCTTGAGTCTTTGACCATTTGTTGCTCAATTACTATGCAGCTTGCTTCTTTCTGCCTCTTGCCAGAAGGATAATGGTCTATATTAACAGGCTTATCTGTGGTTTTCTTCCAGGATCCTTTTGGTGAAAAACGAGGCCACTTCGACTATCAGTCCTTATTAGTGCGTTTGCAAGGAATTCGACAGAAGGTGCAAGAGAAACACCAGCAGGAGAATACAGAAATAGACTCTGAGAGCAGCTCCTCCGAGACAGAGACAGACACTCAAGGTTGCTCTAAAGCTTAGAGCTGCATTAACAGTGGAGAGGCCAAGCCGTGGGGATGTTCTGTCTTCACACTCTATAGAGTACCCCTGACAGACTCGACAACCAAACCAATGCCAGAGCGGAGAAGACTCCGGGACATCTTCTGTCTCCTTTTACTGCTCTGGTGGATAATGCTGAACGAGAAGACTTCATGCTAGACAAAGCCAAGCTTGTGACAGGCTACTCTTAAAAGGTACTTAACTATGCTAGAAAGCCAGAGCATGTGGCATCAGGTTATTTTTTGGAAACACCTACACTGGTTGGGTTTTTCTTTTTTTCCTCCATTTGATTAAAGAATGAGATTTAGATTGCAAACCCTCTTTACAGCTTTTCTGTTCCTAGACAGTGAGCCCTTCCCAGGGGCCATGCTGAACGTGGAGCTGTAGCTGTGGGAGTGCTTTGATGAGTCCAGGGTATGACAGGGCCCACGCACTGTGTGCCCAGGCAAAACCTTTTTGTGTGGATTGGGAGAGATGGAGCCTCTCTGCTCTGTGGAGCCCATCTACCTGATGTCTTTCTTCTAGACACTGTTCTAGACAGACCAAAGATAAAGAGCAGTGATGGAATCTGGGCTCCTTTCTGAAAGCTTTACTCAAGCCCTGGGTGACTTTGTCCACTGAGACTTCAGGTGCAAAGGGGCGAATGAAAAGTGGAAACTGCAAGAATCCATAAATCAAGTGCAGGTGTGTTCATCCTGGCATTTTGGGGAAGGGAGGGTGAGAAAATCATTGGTCAGAGATGGGGGAGCACTTAAAAATGTGTAGTTTGTGTATTTTTTTTTTTTGTAAAGTGTTGATTTGAATTTAGCATTTTAGAAGTATTCTATTCTGGCTGCTCTGTATGGAGCTGTTTTGTTTCCTTAATCAAAGTACTCTGCTTTCCACCTCTCTGGTCAATGTAATATTTTATTTTCCTCCCTTCTTCCTGCCACCTCACTCCCTGCTGCTACCTTGATCCATCAGATTAAAACGCTAGAATAAGGGGCGGTTCTAGATAAGGAAGCCTCTGTTTCTGCGTGGAGTTCTTCAGAGGTGTACGCCTTGTTACTGACGAATTCCTTTGCCAAACTTGGCTGAGCACAAGCTAGCCGAGTGTTGTAAAGTTTAACACTTCAGTGCTTGGACCGTTTTAAACAGCAGCTTTTTACTGTTAGTGAAGGCCAGCCTCTTGGAGAGGTGTCTGCTGGCTGTGAGTGCCGTTACATCAAAGATGTATTCAGTGTAACTTGGGTGGAGGTGAGATACCCAGTTTCTCCAGGTAAATGAGCCTGGTGACAATTGATTTGAGCCGTATAATGTTTTGTTGATAAAGAGCTTAATCTACTTTTTTTTTATTATTATTTTTTGGGGGAGCTTTGATAGAAAGCTAAGCACAAAGTTGCACATTGTCCTGGGCCCTCTCCCAGTTTCCTTAAATACCTTCCCACCAGCTCGGCCCTGTTTCAGACTCCTGATGGTGGTGGGAGAACTTCCAACGCAGTCATCTTTGTTCTAAAAAAAAGCGCAGAAAGAGGGGCCAGAAGACCCCTGCCGCGTGCTGTACAGAAAGGCAATGCCCCATGCGTCACTGAATTATTTTCAGTCTCTGTGATTTATATCAACTCTTGCAGAACTCGGAAGCCTGCAACACTGCTGCTTAAGCAGCTCTGAAAAGCTAGAAGGTGGAAACATTTCTGAATTGTTAAGGTGCCGTTTAACAACTTGGGAACCTTTTTTCCCTTTAGCAAACTCCCCTGGGTCTGTCATTGGCTTGATTTAGACTTAAACCCTGTCTTCCCTTGAGGGAAAGCTGAACTTACATACGACTCACTCAAGACATACATCAGATGAGAGTAAATAAAGCAGTGTTCACCTCGAAATGAGGCCTCAGGGAGGCAGCGGGGTCTCCTGAGAAGGCACGAGCTGTGTGCTACTTCACCGCCTCTTTAATCCCATTGTAAATGTCACGTTGTTTTTCACCATTCAGTAGCATTGTGGGTAGAGCTGTGACTCTGCTGCTTTCCCAAGGCAGAGCTGGTTCTGAAATCTGTTTGTGATGCATGTGGTGTTACCATCCACCGATACAATGGAACAAGAAAATGCCTTATTGTGGACACTATTCACATAACTAGCATGTGGCTGTAAAAGAGAAGTATTAGTTTTCTAGCTCTAATGTTGTCTGTCCTACCATTTCTGAATGTTTCCATTTCAAAGTGACAATCCTCAAATGACTGCTCTAGGCAGAGATGTTTTAGCAACAGATTTTTAGACCTAATTGAGTTGAAAATATATGCACAAGAGTCACTCTAAGATACCTTGTTTATATACTATTGTACATAAGATTTTTTTTTTTGTGCAATAAAGTTTGTTTTGGCAGAATCTAGACTGTGGTACTCCTTAGTGGAACAACGACTCATTCACAGATCCAAGAGGACTACAGAACAGCTTCTCAGTGTCACTGTTGGCTTCAGGATTCTTTAGCCAGAGTCACGTTTGTATCCTCCAAGACTGCAGCTGGAATAGCAGCTTAGATAATTTTCCTCTTGCTGTGACAAGGTAATTAGTTGTCTGTAATGGTAAGTGACATTTCCACCCACAACAGGAGAAAATTCAGAATAATCAAGTATGAACTAGTCCCATTAAACTTTTCAAGCTAGACACTTTCTACAAAACTTTTATTTCAAGTCTATTGTCCCTGTGTTTCAGGTGATATGCAAATAACCTCAGAAGAAGAATTATATACAGGCACAGAAAATGTAGCAGTCAAGGTATTGCCTCCTTGGCTTCCTCTGGCGTGATTTCCTGAGAGTACAGCTCTGTAAAGAGAGCAGGCAGCCAGTACTGAGGTTCTTCTGCTGCCTGCGTATCCAGCCAGGCCATTCCCTCCTTCAGCAAGTGTTCCTATACAAACAGAGTGGAAACTGTGAGTGAACCTTAACTAAATGGCTGAGAAGCCATTCATAATAGAGGCCTCACCCCACATTTATTTTAGGGTAAGGGAGGGTGTAGAACTTGGGCCACAGTAATTTTTACTCAACTAGATGGGGGAAAAATACAGTTCAGACATCCAGCCATGCCCACCCTGCATGTTTATGTAGCACCTGAGGTAGTAAGATTCAAGTTTTAATGGAGATTAGTGAAGCCACAGGAGTATCTGCAGCTTCTCAGATTCTGCTTTCCTTAGACTGTTTACGCAGTGTGTACTCTGCCTTGGTCTACCATGTAGCGTGGGATCCCCTGTGCATGCTGTGGTAACGCATCCCCAGCAAAGCGCTCACAGCAGGGCTGTGGGACCAGTCACGCTACACTGTCACTGAACTCCACGGTGCACAAGAGACCTTCATACATACCAGCACTTGCTTTGCACGTTCTGTCTCCCACTTCAGACTGGATCTGATCTCACTGACTGTTACATAGCCCTTTTTCTGAAATGAGAGGAAAAATACCGTGCGCTTATAGTAAAGACTTAAGGCCCATAGTTCAGAACAGTGTGGACAGTTTTGCCTATAGGCCTGGCCTGATCACAGTTCCCTCTCAGGGTAGCATATAAGGTTCTTTAAAGGTGGTTGTATTTTAAAATCTCCTGGCTCAATACCTCTGCCAGCTGCAAGACGACAGTGTGATCCATGTTCAGTTCAGCTGGTACCGACTGGATCAGATATGTTCCACCAACAGGGATAATCCCAAAGCCATTCCCCAAGACCTTCAGTTTCTTGATTGCACGAAGGAGATCATCCCTGAGAAGCAGAGATCAATGCAAGGCTTTAAAGCAAGAGCCTCTCTCAAACTGCACACTACATTCTGTAAAAGAAGGAAGACTTGACGTGCAGAAGCTATGAGCGGTAATAGCTCCTTGGAGCTTGCTGCAGTTTCAGGTAATCAACAGCTGAAAAAAAATTTATAAAGCACTTTAGAATTAGTTTGTGTATCTGTGTGGTGGAGTGCAGAAGAGCAGACTTGCATTAGAGACACACTTGTAGCACCTGAGCTGCAAGTGCTAAACTTTAAGCCCCATTTAGTGATCATGGTGAGCTGCATCCTAAAGTCTGCTTCTGTAATGACACATATCAGTCCCTTACAGCTCAGGAGACCACAGTAGCTTTGGCAGACTGTGGCAGGAAGAGAGCTGGATTTGCAGGGAACTAATTGTCTCCAGCTCAAGGCAACAGTATTCTATGCCTTAGGGCTCCCAGAGAAAGCACACTGCTGCTTTCTGAAATGGTTAAGTCATTAATTGTGGATCATGTGTAAGAGGCTCCATTGCTAGAAGCCAAATTTGGAGTCCAATTAACAGCAGCACCTTCAATTGCTGCTGAGATCAGTCACCCCCTTCCCCAAAGGCTACTTGATTCCCCTTTCCTGGAATATATAGACACTCACTGGCTGACATCCTGAGCAAACTTCCCCCTTCCCTTCAGCACTTGCTGATGAAGTTCTTCCAGTGTTATCAGACCTAGGAGTCAACAAAAGGGGACAGGAAAGTATTACTGCATAGCAACAAAATTAGTGCAGCAAAAGCAGTCAAGGGTCCTTTGTGTACTTGCCACTGGCTCACCCCTGCCTTCCATTTTACAAGCGGCTGTTCATTGTTCCCAGTATCAAGCACTGAGTGAGATAAGCATTGAGTCACTTCTGTTCCCAGAACTAGCATGCAGCAGTCAGCTGTTGCCTTCTCCCACAAATGTATTGGACTCAAGTTTCAACTGGCTTTGCTGTAGCCCATTCCTGGTCTCAGATTGCCCTTTTGGAGCGAAGAGCATCTCCCATCTTTTAATTAGGCACTTATCACTGATATTCCAACTCTTCTGGATATTGCTGTGATCCTTCAGAGACAATCTTGCTGCCAGGCTCAAAGCAGTAACTTACCAATTTTGTACGACTTCAAGATTGTCACTGATTCTTGCTGTGAGTTATGGTTTTGTTACCTAAACAGGGCAGAGTTGGTTGATTTCTGTAGGAATTAATAAAGCTGGCTGATTACCAGTGGTGTAGCTGTAACATGTTGTAGAAACAAAACAAGGCTTTTTGGGGACAATGAAGACAAAACTGCTATCTCAATAATTTATGAAATCTACTAAAGAATGCTACACTGAGCGATGCGACCCATTTTCCACAGGGAGAAGGTATCCTCCTATTAGCTGCATCTCCTAGAAACCAGACACAGTGGGATCCTCACCTCCATTCCTGTGTTTCAGAGCCAGGCAAACTTCAATGATCTGCACACCCAGTTCATAGTAGAAGTCTCCAACTCCCAGCATCTCTGACCAGAATCCTTTACCAGCTGTGAAGTGAGAAAGGGGAAAGAAATTGGACCGTTGGGAAAAATATCCTTAA